CCGGCCTTTAAAATGACTTTTAAAACCCTTCCAGGACACATTAGTATGTTTAGTTTGACTTTCTAATACTCTATACAGAGAGTTCTGCTTTACTTTTTTTAAGCAGTAGAGATGTGAGTCCAATACTAACTCATATTTTAAATTTTAGAAATATTCTATCTAAATATCCTATTATTCTATTAATTTTTAGAAATATTCTGTTATTTGTTCTATTCTATTATTTATATTCCATTATGCTATTAATATTCTATGTTCTATTATCATTTTAGGATATAGCATAACTAAATTCAACAAATATTTATTTACTAAGATTTTTTAATTGGCACAATAACTGTACATATTTACGGGATACATAATGATATTACAATGCATATAAGGTATAGGGGTCTAAATAATTATCATATTCATCATCTCAAATATTTATTATGTCTTTGCCTAACAAATATTTACATGTGCTGAATTTGTATGAACTATAAGGCTAGTCACCAGAGGAATTTTGAAAAGTCAATAAAATACAATCACTGTTTTCAATGGGAGGGCTTTAGTCTATATAAAAAAATTTTAAATATTATTCTATATATAAAAATTAGACAATAACGTAAAGATAAGACCAAATATGTGTACTATAAAAAGATGGTACAAGCAAAGTGCTGTGAAGGTTCTAGAGAGGAGAAAAGGGAAAGCTTCACTAAAGAGGTGGCTTTTGAAATGGGTCTTAAGATCTCAATGGATTTTAACTGGGTGAAGGAAGTAACCGAATAAATCAAATGGGGCAATTTACAGAGTCATCTTATTCCCCTGTTACTGTTGACTGACACTGTCTAAGATAGCCCATAATTGTATACCAACTCTTTGAAAATATAGGATTGGAATTCTCTCTCCCTTTTGTCTACTGGCAGTCCTATCTCCCATGATAAAAGCTTTATGTGCCAGACACAGTCATTATTAGCTCATAGGCGACTGTAAATGAGGAAATAATGTCAATATAATTCAGAAATTACATTGCTTTATTTTTCCCAGCACACTAAGATTGTGAAGCCATCAGGGGCAAGTCTTTTCACAATTAAATAGCAAATCTTAGCAATACATAAAGATCTTAAGAAAAAGGCAGAGAGCTCTGCAGAAATGCCTTCCTTTAATGCAAATAGAGGCTTATTTGGTGGCTGCAAGAACCTCTGAGCTTTTCACAACATTAAATTTTGTGGTAAAGCTGCAAAGTATGAATGAAGGTGTAAAATCATTTTCTCCTGTGGTGGGAAAACTGATTAATACAGAAGGCAAAATCCTGGATCAGAGTTTTAATCTTTATGAAACTGCTGTTAATTGGAACTAATGCCCTCAGTGGCGTATATGTCCAAGGAAGAAACACATGCCCCAGGATTAAAGGTTCAAAAGTAGCACTGTCCAACAGAAATATGAGACACATATATAATTTAGGTTTTCTAGTGGCCATTTTTTTTAAAAGTAAAAGTAAAAAATGTTGAAATAACATTTCAAAATATAATCAATATCAAGATTTTTACATTCTTTTTTTACGTACTAAGTTCTTAAAATCTGGTTTTACATTTTACACTCACAGCACATCTCAATTTGGATTAGCAAATCTGAGTGCTCAATAGCCAAATGTGGCTAGTCACCACCATGTTGGATACCACAGCCCTAAAGGATGACTGTGATACTGAGTATGAATGTCAGTAGAGATTTGTGTTAATATTTTTTTATTAGCATAATAATTTTTATGGCCCTCAACTAACAAAGCTGCAGAGATTTTGAGTGGTCTGCTCCCAACCTTGTGTTTCCCATAAGTCCTATTATTTTTAGTGTACTATTTTCAAGAACATGCTTGTTTTCCCTGTGCATACTTTCCTAGCTTCCCTTGCAGCTAGGGGTAGTCATAGGATATAGTTCTGGGCAATGAGAAGTAAAGGGAAATCTGTTAAGTCATATGGGGAAGATTTTTTTGCCCTTATGAGAGGGGCCTCAAAGAGAAATTCTTTTATTTTCACCCATCCCCCTTCCTTTCTGTTTGGAACATTTTATATGAGAACATGTTTGGAGCTATGGCAGCCATTTTGTGACTATGATAAAAGACTCTTGAAAACACTGAAGATAACAGAACAGAAAAGTATCTTTCCTTATTAGAGACGTAAATGAAATGAAGAAGCCAGCCAACAGAATAGGGAGGTAGAGGGAGGAAGGAGCAGAGTTACCTTGCAAAAGGAAGAGCACATCAGCAAAGATGTCCTCAATGGGCACTACTTGAAGAGTCACAAAAGTTTGCCCTTCTTTCCCTCTTTGCTCCCCCTTGTTGAAGATTTTCTTCTCTCTGATTGAAACATTCTTTCTTTAGCTATGACAAAAATACCAAATTATCCCCAATACTGGGGTGTAAACCCAGACATAACGGCAAAATTTCTTTGAAGTCCCTTGTTTATCATTAAGAATTCATATGTAAACATTGTAATTTGGACTTCATATGTGTGTTTAAATTTTTTTTTAATGTTTTATCAGGAAAAAAATGTCCTTTCTATCACTCAGTAAATAAATAAGTTTATTTTGTGTTGATTCAACCAAGTTTGGGTAATTGGGAATGCATATCAGATTCATTGTTCAGCAATTTCAATTATTTGTTCTGTGGCCACAATAACTCAGAACCCAGATTTACATAAATATATGGATACAAATGACAGCAGTTTTTTCACTACTTTTTTTTTTTTTTTTTTTAAGACAGCATCTCACTCTGTTTCCCAGACTACAGTGCAATGGCATCATCATAGCTCACTGCAACCTCCAACTCCTGGGCTCAAGTGATTCTCCTGCCTTGGCCTCACAAAATTCTAGGATTACAGTGTGAGCCACCACACCCGGCCTTTTTACTACTTTATAATGTCAGGGTAATCACAGAATGCTGTCTAAAGAAATGATATGGTTAACTTTTTTAGCTACTGAATGTGCAAATTTTGGTAAGTATATTTTCTGAGTCATATGACAGACTAAATAGGTAACCAGTTCACCAGTTTCTTTTACTCAACAAAGGAGTTTTTTTTTTCAATGAAGAAAGATGTTTTCTTTGACCAACTACCAGTCTTACACTATAATTTTTATCATATGTAAATGAACCAGGAAGGAGTCACAGTTCTTTTTCAACTCTTCGTCCAACTTCCTCCCATACTTAACTTTCATTAGAGTCATCTCATCATGTGCAATAAAATTATTCTATTTGTTCTACATTAGTTGTTTGCCTCGACAAAGTATGCCGGCTGTCTTTCTGAGTCAGTCTTAATCATTAAGGTGGATGAGATATCCATTCGACTTACCTGCATTTCTTTTCCTTCACGAAGAAAATTTCAGTTCAATACTGGCTTCAAAACTGGTCATCACCTTAACCAAGTCAGTGTACCTTTAGATAATGGAGTAGGATTTTAAAGTCATTTCCCACTTTGGTACAAATTTGTGTAAAAAGATAAGTATTCAAACCACTGTATTTCCTAAATTTTACTCTCATGTTGAACAGACTAAGAAAATCCAGAGGCTAGCATTTTGAGATGAAGGCTTCTCTGTGACTAATGTTGGAAACATGCAGAGCCTCCACAATTTAGCCCCATCTGCTCATGTCTATTCATTTTCTCTACTTAATTTCATGTTACCTAAAAAGCTCACCCTCCTCGTAGAAAATTTCTTGTTACAATTTGAAGTTTCCAAAATCACCCTTCAAAACTTAACAAATAGAGTCCAATAAAATTGCCAAATTGTTAACATCTATGCTTTTATCCAGGTTTAGCTGAATCCACCAGTTATTGTTTTTTGGGCACATTAAAAGGTATCATTGGAAATCCTTCCATAAAGATACTTCTTAAAAATCAGTTTGCCTGCCTCTTTTTGTTTCCAAACGGATCCAGTCATATCTGGGTCAGTTCTCATTTCGTATCACTGTCTTCCAAGCCACCTGACACTGACTTTTAAGGGATCTTCAAACCATTTGAAAAATTTGCTTGCTGGTTGTGTTGTGCTTTTTCTGGAAAATGCTTCTAGAGTCATCTCTCTTTTTAGTTTCAAAATTTGCATGGCTGCCTTTTTGACTTTGCTTCAGGAGTCAGTCTAAGTCACGCAGGTGTCGCTCGAGGTTTGCTCGAGGCAAGACGACCTTAAGTTTAGGCTTATTTGCATTCTCACGATAACAGAGTCCATGTTTTAAATAGGTACGTAAAATAATACCTATGGCTTACTTTGCTGCTCAACAGTTACCGTTAGAGCAGTGTTTTCGTTACGTCCCTTATAAACATCTTCCAGGACAGCTCTGACAGGGCACCGATTTCTGAGTGTTCAGAGTTTTCATTACCGTTATTTTCACTGGTTTCAAGTGTACACTTAAACTGTCCAGGTTCAAACCTCCGCTCCGCGTTCCTAGACGATTTTCATTAAGAACACCCTCCAGGCAGCAAACCAAAGCGCCCCGCGCGCCCCGCAGCTGCAGCCGCCACAGCGCTGCGCAGGCGCAGTGGGGCAGGAGGGTAAACTGGGAGGAGCCAGTGGGATTTTTCATATAGCGAAAAGAGGAAAAGCAAAACAAAGCTGTGGGTCCTAAGATGATAAACTGGTTGGCTTTTCCTATTTTTCTTGCATTTTTTCCCCGCTTTTGTTTCTGAAGAACTAGTTGTGTGGCCTCCGGGGCCTCGCAGAGAAATCCTTTGTACAATTCCTCGGCTCTAGAGAACTGCCGCTAGCCTATCGGCTAGTTATATTAGTCTAATTTGTTCTCGCCGCGGAGTCTTGACCTTTTTTCATTGACTGCAGTACTAATCCATTGGGGCGGCAAAAAAAAAAAAAGAAAGAAAGAAAGAAAGTGGGGAGCAGGGATCACAACTCCACATAAGCCGTTCCTACTCGCCGGCCTTCCCCAAACAACGCGAGATTTGCCTGGTCCCGGAGAAGCGCCCTCCTCCCCCCCGCCCCCCCCAGTGGCGTTTGCGCATGCGTCTGGCTAATTTTCGCGCGCAAAAAGTTTGAAAACCTTCTGCCGGGTAATTGGCGACCGAATTTGGCCCTCGGAAAATTTCCGTCACTTTGACCCGATGGATTCAAGTACACAACACCACATTCTTTGAGATTTTGCAGTCAAAACTCCACGAGCTTGTATGGTCTTCCTTTCTTTCCGTTTTTATATTGGCCGAGAACTCCGTGTGAGAGAAGGTTTCAGTGAATCAAGTAGAAAAAGAGTGGGAGTGGGAGAGCCGATCAGAGTTTTAAAATAAAGGTGATGAGTTTGATGTGTTTGGGAAGATACCTCTGGGAGCGACATAAATCTGAGGGACCAAAGGATTTTTTTTTGGGGGGGGCGGCTAGTGACCAAGAGAGGATATGGGTGTGTATTGGGAAGAAGATGGGAAGATTTGAGAAGTAAAAATGAAGGCAGTAACTACTGAGAGGTGAGACTAGAAAGTCAGAACTGTTGACAGTAGAAAAAATTTTTCTTAAAATAGTGTGAACCTATGTATGTTTGTAACAAAGGCAGAAATTCCACACATTGAGTCCATGTTGTATGTAAGGTGGAAATTCTGTAAGGCCCTAAGGGAGCAGAACAAGGAAGATTCTAAAAACCATAGTCCTGAGCAAGGGCTCAGGTTGGGATCGGGAAGAACAGTCAAGGTAACAGAAGTCAGGAATTTGAGAACTGTCTTGAGGGATCTGACTAATCTGACCTCCTTTCTCTCTTAGGGTACATGGAACACCTGCACAAGCATTGGATTTAGCCCTGCAACATCTTAAAGGTACCACCCAACACCTGAAGTGTCTTCCTCCTTCCAAGGGAGTCCTCTGGCCCCTACAACCTACCCCATCCTTTAGCCAGAATGCAATGTGGATTTTATGGAATGAAATGGTGGAATTTAGCTACCAAATTCTTCAGATGTGTCACTGGCACTTCGCAAAAGTACATACTTCTAGCTTCTCAGTTTACTAGGTATTAGAGTCTATCTTGATATTAGCAGCAATATTATGCAGTGTAGCCAGTATATTTTGCTTCTTTGTGTCCTGTCAGGAGTACAAGGCAGAGGAATGCTGATGGAGTACATACTTTTATTATACCTAACAAAGGAATGGTTGATAGGTAAGCAATATAGCTTCATCTGTAAGAATAAATATAGAAAGCCACAAGATTGAAGCTAGTAGTGATGGAGAAGGATCCAGATATGAATGAATATATAGAATGGAAGTACTTCAGTAAAGAGCTAGACATGGTAGTCACCTACCAAAAAGTTCTCCCTAGAGCACTTCATTTCATTTTGGCATCCTAAAGTATATCCTGGCCGCTTGGGCTATATGTGTGGAGTTCATAGGAAAATGCTATAGGACAAATCAATAGATGCAATAAAATAGGATTTCTGGGATGAAGCCTGGGTGTCTTGTTTTAGGGAGTGGGATCATCTAGCTCCAAGAGGTATGACATCTCATTATGTCATAGAAAGTGTAGAATTGGGAATCAGACCTGGGATTTGACTTCAGGGTCTTCCAATCACTCTGTGTAACCTCTCTGAGCCTTGGTTTCCTTATTTGTAAAATAAGAATAACAATGTCTATCTCTGGATAGGATAGGATTATTGTAATGACAAAATGAGGTACTATTGAGAAGACTACATGAGTTCCTAGCATAGAAATTGGTATATAGTATTTAGTACATGCCACCTACCACCTATCCATTGAATTGTGGATGCTATATGGAGCATAGGTCCATCTATTTTTAGAGAGCCTTAAGACAGGTTCTCTACCTTTATTGCACATTAGAATCACCTGGGGAGCTTTAAAAAATCTTAATGCCCAGGCTTCACCCTAGACCAATTAAATCAGAATCTCTGAGTAGAGCCCAGACATCAGTTGTTTTTTTTAAAGCTCTCCATTTTGCAACTAAGGTTGAGAGCCACTGCTTTAAAAGTTCCCTCTAGAAGAGGAAAATAAACCTTTGGCTTAAGAACTCCTGATCTGGATGGTTATATAATTGAAAAAATTCTAGAGGATAAAGGCTAGAGCTTGAGATGGGCAGATGAGTAGGGTATAGTGAGCCATATTCAAAGGGAGGCCATGGTGAAAAGAATGGGGTTAGCATACTAATTTGGAAAGTGATGAAGTCAGTGATGAAGTCATTAATATGGGTGCCCGGAATACACAGGATTTGCTGTAGAGATGGAAGACTTTGAGCCTCCCAGGCTAGTCCTTTTATCTAGCACAGGCAACACAGATGGTGATGTCTTTATTGCTTTACCATATGTCAATCTTGAACCATGAGCAGGGCTGATGGCAGTAGTGGGTTGGGGTGAACTTTTACAGTCTGTTATGCTCTATTGGTTGGGAAGGGCATCAAGGGATGATTGAAATGTGTGCATATGGGTGTTCTTTTCCAATGACAGGGTGCAGGTGGGAATGTATGTACCACCAGCCACTGATAATAAAGCCTCTTCCCAAAGTTCATGTAGCTGCTCTGACCACACACATAGTTTTGTTGTTTGACAGATGAGAAAGGTGAGGTTCAAACCTGCTTTTGTGGCCTTTCAGTGAATAAGAGTATTACTTGGATGGAATAGAAGTATCATCTCTGGGTCAAGAATTTTAGCTGTTAAGAGACAAGATGCTTTCTATATTTTTTTATTTTTATTTTTATTTATTTATTTATTTTTTGAGACAGAGTCTTGCTTTGTTGTCCAGGCTAGAGTGAGTGCTGTGGCATCAGCCTAGCTCACAGCAACCTCAAACTCTTGGACTCAAGCGATCCTACTGCCTCAGCTTCCCGAGTAGCTGGACTACAGGCATGCGCCACCATGCCCGGCTCATTTTTTCTATATATATTAGTTGGCCAGTTAATTTCTTTCTATTTATAGTAGAGACGGGGTCTCGCTCTTGCTCAGGCTGGTTTCAAACTCCTGACCTCAAGCTATCCGCCCGCCTCGGCCTCCCAGAGTGCTAGGATTATAGGCATGAGCCACCGAGCCCTGCTGACAAGATGCTTTCTAGTAGGACAACTCTAGTTTCTAGGGATAAGTAATTCAGAAGTTAAAAACCATACTTCTTAATTCACTAGATATCAAGACCCAAATGTAATGGTAATAGTTAGGAGTATCTTTTGCCACATGGGGTTACCTGTGTTTAGTTGGGTGTCTTTTCTTGAGAAGCAGGCACACATGAGTAAGAGACAGAGTCCCCCTGGGACAGGAAGGTACACGGGACAGATTGGTGTCTGTCTTCAATGTTTTTTTGTGAGTTAAAATGAGCCAGGACTGGAGCCAAATACAAGTGATGCTTCAGGTTCTTGCTGGAGACTGCTAGTACTTTTGCACAGGAAGCAAAAGCAGGAAGAGTTTAGGCCCCCAGATAGGGAAAACAAAACAAAACAAAAAACCACAGACTATGGTTAGGTCTTCTGCTTTGTGGATATCAAATGCCTGTTGGGACCTTGTTCAAAATATTTCATATTGTACCAATATAGGGATAAGGGGGTCTAGTCCATCTTTCTGCCTCTTTTTGGGATATTGGAAAAAAATTCTATATAATTGGTATAGTTCAGCAATGAGATTACTGTCTTTGGACACAAGTGGGCTTTTCTTTTGTATGCAATGTGTTTTTTACTCTATGAAAAGTATTTTGGGTCAAGTGCTAGGAAGCTTAATGATACAATGTATCTTCCAAAAATGTATCTGCCATTATTAGAGTTGCAACCTCCTGGAATACTAAATGGAGTGTATCCAGGGGATGTAGTAGATAATCTTAAGAACTGAGCAAACACTTGCCTGAGCCAGAGTTGGCCCAACTGAGACTAGAAAATATCAGTCTGTTCTAGATCCAATCAGTATAGTTTTCTGAGTTTCTCAATCAATATTCAGGAGTCCAAGGACTCAGAGAAAGAGGTTGTCAGGGGCTACCAAAATTGGGGATTACTAAAGTGGGTATGGGGAAAAGACATTGGTTTGCTCTTGTCTCTAGTAAGAGTGTTAGTAAAATGGCTAAACTTTGTTGGCTAGGTAAGGAGACAAGGTATTCAGAGACTATGCAGGGGTCAAGTAACTAGAGGTTATGAAGTAGGTGAAGAGCAGATTATGCAAAAGTGAGTAGAATGGGGTAGGAAAATGGGCGACTTGAGATGAGGGAAGCAGGTTGGAAGTTAGAAATAGGAAAACTAAAAGTGGTAACAGTTTAGATAAACTCTTAGAAAAGTATATTAAAATAGGGGTGGTGCCCAACATCCTAAGACAAGATAACAGGGACAGATTTTTGTGGGATTTGTGCAAAATGTAGGAGAGTGAAAACTGATTAGACTACTCTTAAACTTTCACGGGTATCAAGGGCTGTCAAGAGTCAAGATTGGGAAAGGGATTTTTTTTTTTTTAAGACAGAATCTCACTCTGTTGCCCTGGCTAGAGTGCCATGGCATTAGCCTAGCTCACAGCAACCTCAAACTCCTGGGCTCAAGCAATCCTTCTGCCTCAGCCTCCTGAGTAGCTGGGACTACAGGCATGCACCACCATGCCCGGCTAATTTTTTCTACATATTTTTAGTTGTCTTTCTATTTTTAGTAGAGATGGGGTCTCGCTCTTGCTCAGGCTGATTTTAAACTCCTGACCTTGAGCAATCCGCCTGCCTCGGCCTCCCACAGTGCTGGGAAAGGGATTTTGAAGAGGATATTTGAATAGAATTATTGGAGTGCTGTGAGGACTTCATCACTGAGGAGGAAAAGAAGTGTTTAAGCCCTTCACCCAAAGACTAGGAAAAGGGGCCTTCAATGAGACCACTTGGAAAGCTTCCCAGAGTTTAGGGGGACACAATGCACTAATGTCTGTCTTCCACCTGAACAATCTTATAGGCTGAAAGAGAGTTTGCTACTTTGTTAGCCATGGGTTTATATTCCTACAATTTATCAGGGCAAAGAAGACATGCATGTTTCCTGCAACTCAGGGAAAGAAGAAAGAGAGAACGAGAGAGAGAGCGCGCCAACAAGGGGTCAACTCTGGACCTGACCAAGATGACCACCCAAATTGATGAATAGGCTTCATAAGGGAAAAACTAAAGATCTTTCTGAAGTTAGGGTAAGTGGCCTGCTGGTTAAAGGAACTGCAGTTGAGAAATTCATAGGTATAGAAGTTTGTTCCCCAAAACCCACAGAAGTGCCTATGAGATAAAAAGTCAGCTTTTAATACCTGTGAGGTGCAGAGAAAGTGATGGCAGCTCATAAAGTACCAACAAAGTAAGACTGTTGCTCATCTTACTCTCTAATGATGATAGGGTTAGAAATTGGGATGGGCACAATCTGAGGGTTAGACAAACAAGTCAGGGAAGGAGGGAAGTGGCTACACTCTTTTCCTAAATGTAGGCTTCCCTGTCTGCAGCAGGCACAAACTGGGAGGAGGGAGAAAAGCCTAAACTTTAAGTCAGGTGCCAAATTTTGACTATTGTGGAAGACTGGATATTTTAATTATTAACATCTCTTAACTAAAAGTAACCAGAAAAAGTAATGGTACCACCCACATTTTAATCCAGGGATAGAGGAACCAACAACTATAGGGTGTTTTCAAAGGAACAGTGGAAAATAAAAATTAAGTTGTTTGAGTTAATCCCCAAAATTATGCTTGTTCACTGTTTTTGAGCACTTACTTTGTTTTTTAGATTCTAGAGGTATAAAGATGAATTGGATGACATTCCTCCCTACAAGAATCTAGGAACACAAAACAATATCATAGAAGTAATAAGTGTGGAAATTAAAGTACTGTAGTAAAAAGGAAGATGTAAGTAACTTATTTTGGAAGGGTGGGGAGTGGAAGAGACTTAGAACTATAGACAAGACAAAACCGAGCAGGGTTTGAGAAAGGAGTAGATGTTCACAAGATGAACAAGGCAGAGAAGCTTTGTGTCAAGTCTAAGCCTAGAGGCATGAAACAGCATGGTGTATATATGTGAGCACTACACGCAGTGTGACAGGTGTGTGTGTTTAGTGGGTGATTAAAATGGAGGTCATAGGTGGTGAGGAGTTTAGACTGGGGCTGTTGGCAGGCTCACCTGGAGAGTTAATGGAAGTTTAAAAGCATACACTAAGTTGCTAGTTATTTCTTCCGTCAATCCTTCCTCCCTGTCCTTGTCTTTGCCTTTTATAAATTTTGCCAACAGCCCCTTTTTAGAGAGTGCTAAGAAGGTGGTATAGGAACTCTTTTTCCATCCCAGTGCCACCAGCTGGTTGGCTCCATATCTGACCTAGGCTGGGTCAGACTGACTCTGCCTCCTAAGAGTTTAGAATCAGAACATTGAGAGACTGGGTCATTGTGACAGGAGCATTGAATTTGTAAGGATGTGTAAATTTTAGATCCAAGGCTGCCATTTGGGGTCAGCCATTTGGGAGCCAGTAATACAATGGGGAACAAACACAACTAACTGATCTTTTAGGAGAAGCTGGTGAATGCAGCTAATGAGGAGAGAGAGCTGAAGACAGTAGGCTATGTGGCCTCAGAGAGAAAGAGATGGAGTCAGTGGCTTTCTCCGTCTGTTTCAGTCCCGTCTGAAAGGCTACCATTTTTTGTCCTTAAGTTCTCTGCGCTTTCTCTGAGTCTTTATAATAAATCCATCTCCACTTAAGTGACTTTCTCTTTTCTTGAGACAACTGTGTTATGTACCTAACTGTGTTTACCCCTTCTTAATATGTTCTTGTCCTAAAAAACCCACTTATCTTCCACATCAGAGACATACACATGTGTAGCAAGGACACTTACTTAACTCACTACAGTTCAGATATCTCATGAAAATGTAAGTCCCTTATTTTGTCTAGAGTTTTCACCTGTGTATTAGTTATCTATTACTGCATAACAAAATATCCCACAGTTAGGTCTGGGCTCAGGGCCAGGCATTGTGGCTCACGCCTATAACCCCAGTACTTTGGGAGGCCGAGGTGGGAGGATCACTTGAGCCCAAGAGTTCAAGACCAGCCTAAGCAACATAACAAGACCCTGTCTCTACAAAAAATTAAAAAATTATCCAGGTGTGGTGGTATGTGCTGTAGTCCCAGCTACTTGAGAGACTGAGGCAGGAGGATCACTTGAGCCCAGAAGTTTGAGGTTGCAGTGAGCTATGATGATGCTACTGCACTTTAGCCCAGGTAACAGAGCAAGACCCTGTCTCAAAAAGAAAAAAAACACAACCCATAGTTTAGTAACTTAAAATAATAATATCAAGCCCAAAGAGCTTATAAAACAAAAACAAAAAAATTTAAAGACTAATAAACATTTTATGATAGTTTCGGTGGATCAGGAATTTGGGAGCAGCTGGGGGTTTCTCACAAAGCTGTAGTCAAGATGTTGGCTAGGGTTACAATCACTGGACTGGGGCAGGAGGATCTGCTTCCAAGGCAGCTAACACTCCTGGTTATCTAGTTGGCGAGAAGCCTTTGTTTTCTACCTCCGGGCCTTTTCACAGGCAGTTTGAGTGACCTTATGACATGGTGGCTGGCTTAACCCAGAATAAGCAATCTAAGAGGGTAACAGCCAGGTAGAAACTGTCATTATGATCTTGCCTCAGAGGTTATATGGAATCACTTCTGGCATGTTCTATAATATTTATTAGAAACAAGTAAAAGTCTGGTCCACATTCAAGGGGATTAAGTTTCACCATTTGAAGGGAGGCATATCAAAGAATTTGTGTGGAGGTATTTTAAAACCACCACAACCTAACAGGTTACAGAAAAAAAAAAAAACCCAAAGTGTCCAATCCAGTTTCAAATGTAGTTCAGTTTCATTTAGTTCCTTTAAATAGTATAAATCTCCTATGGATAAAAATGTTTCATCTTTCATAATACCTTGCAAGGAGGTCCTGTCATTTTCTCTGAAGATGACATCCATTGGTAGGGGACCAGGGGGTAACATACACATCCTGTGGCTTTGCTGAGGAAGATAGTACCTCCTGGCTTCAGTCTAGACCTAGCGTGTGCACTGACCGGTGCCTTCACATGTCTACCCTGATACCCCTTGTCTGCCTGATCTCTGGGGAACATGCTGTCCTGCGATGCTGATGTGGAAGCCTGCAGCTGGTGAACTCACGGCCCATCTTTGGCTTCAGGCAAATCTCCCAGGGAATATTGGCCACCTCCCCTTGCAGACCCAGCTTCCTGTTGGCCCCTGTGTGGAGTCATCTTGTCTTGGCCATGGTAGGCCCACTGGCTGTTAGTACAGCATCCAAGCTTCAAGGAAATGAGACAGGCTCGGATAATTGATTGCCCTATCTATCTCTGTCTAACCGTGCTATTGGGGACTTGCCATTGGCCTTAACAGCCATAGAAAATGCAAGGAATGAGGTATGAGGGGCTTAGGTAGTGGTCCCTAAAGGGGAGTAAATGCAGAGATCCCTTGCCCTGAGTGTTCCTTTCACCATAGAAGTAACGCATTGTGGTAGGCAGCCTTTTTCTTTCATGACATTGACTTTTTGATGAGTCCAGGCTGTTTCTCTTGCAGAATAGTTTACATTCTTGATTTGGTTAATTATTTCCTCATGATGTCTCATAACTGTTTCTCTAACTCCTACTTTTTTTATTTAAAACTGTAGGCTGGGTGCGGTGGCTCACGCCTGTAATCCTAGCACTCTGGGAGGCTGAGGCGGGCGGATTGCTCGAGGTCAGGAGTTTGAAACCAGCATGAGCAAGAGCCAGACCCTGTCTCTACTATAAATAGAAAGAAATTAATTGGCCAACTAATATATATAGAAAAAATTAGCCGGGCATGGTGGCGCATGCCTGTAGTCCCAGCTACTCAGGAGGCTGAGGCAGTAGGATTGCTTGAGCCCAGGAGTTTGAGATTACTGTGAGCTAGGCTGATGCCACGGCACTCACTCTAGCCTGGGCAACAAAGCGAGACACAGTCTCAAAAAAAAAACTAGCAGGTTCAACATTTGGTATACGGAAAAAAAGAAAGAAAAAAATGAAAAATTAGTTTAAAAATTAAAAACCCGTATATTATGTGTAAAGATTTGATTAGATTTAGGTTAAACATTTTTCAAAAGAATATTTCATCAGTGAGTGAAGTTGAGTAGGTGACATTGCTTCATGTTAGACACACAATTTCAGTTTGTCCCACTATTAATGATGCTAAGGTTGTCACTTGGTTTAAGATAGAGATCCCTCTCCCAGTCTCTCCATTGAAAAAGAACATTTTTCCCTTTGCACTTTATAAGTAATCTACAAACAACCTGTTCTCCAACAACTTCCATCTGATGGTGTGAACATCCATTGTGATCTTTGCCTGTATCAGTTATATCACTGGGGGCTGCAAAAATGTTGTTCTTACTATGATATTCTGCATTTATTAACTGGTATTCTTCTGTAAAGAAGAGCTTTCTTTTAAGAAAACTATTCTAATGAATTTCTCAGTGGATAATTGGATAGTGGTTTGCTTTTAATTTTGTTTAAAGCAATTAGAAAGCTACTGATTTTTAAAAGGATTTGTTACCCAATTATTAGAGCTCTTTACTTTCTCAGTATTATCCCCAATATTTCTAGTTATTATTTTTTTCGATTGCCGGGAGATTTTTAAATTCAGGCAATGAATTTGAGGTAAAGGTTGGGGAGAGATTTGCCAATCTGTGATAAAATGGAAGAAAAACTAGGTGGGAATAAAGAACCAGTATGACATCCATAAGATCTTGACTGCGCCAGTTCTCAGGAAAAGCAGTTCAGAAAACATACTTGTGGAAGTAGAGAATCTAGAAATTAGTTCCCATAAAACTGCATGTTCTAGAACTCCTTGGAAAGTTTTTGCATCAAGATGCAGCTGTACAGTACAGAACCCTGAGCGAAGTCTTCCAGGGTTGGTTGATGACAAGCTAAGGGCAGAATTATAGGAATTTAGAGAATGGCTTTCAAAACAATAGCCTGGATTTCAAGTCTATTGTCTTGGTCCTATTTTGAATTTCAGGAGCTGAATATTAATGCCTTACTTTTTTTCCATTCCTTTTCTTTTCTTTTCTTTTCTTTTTTTGAGACAAGATACTGTCAAAGGGCCATGTAGTAAATCACAACACATTAATTTGACCAGTTATTTTAGTCTAGTCCATTATTCATGATACAGAATAGTATAGTATACTGTGCCTGCTCTGGAGGCAGGTTACATGATTCCCAATCCTAGCTCCCACACTGTCTGTACTGCTTTGGGCACATTATAGTCCTTGGGCCTCAGTTTCCTTATCTGTAAAACAGAATGTTGTTAATAGTACTCATCTCTTTGGGTTGATAGGAGGATTAAATGATACCATGTATGTAAATACCTGGCACAAATTAAGTATTAATTTTCTTTTTGTTATTATTATTGACCAAGAGAGGAGACCATATCCAAGTCACCAGCCTGCTCACTCTTAAGAATATGAATGTGTTCTTCAAACATATCCAGCATTCTTGAGAAATTACTTTCCTGAGAGTGGCAAGTGTTAGAATTAAGAGTTGAATTTCTCCTAGTCTTATGTAGAAAATCTAGAATTAACCTGACTCTTTTCCTAAAATAAAAGTAGGGGCCGGGCGCGGTGGCTCACACCTATAATCCTAGCACTCTGGGAGGCAGAGGCAGGCGGATTGCTCAAGGTCAGGAGTTCGAAACCAGCCTGAGCAAAATTGAGACCCCGTCTCTACTATAAATAGAAAGAAATTAATTGGCCAACTAACATATATATAGAAAAAATTAGCCGGGCATGGTGCCACATGCCTATAGTCCCAGCTACTCGGGAGGCTGAGTTAGGAAGATCGCTTGAGCCCAGGAGTTTGAGGTTGCTGTGAGCTAGACTGACACCACGGCACTCACTCTAGCCTGGGCAACAAAGTGACACTCTGTCTCAACAATAAATAAATAGATAAAAATAGGAAATAACATCATAAGCTGTGGATATTGATCCAGGAAAGAGCTTTAGTTTCTTGAATTATACTCCAGCTGCCCATGCCACTTTTTTCCTTACACAGTTTGTATTTCTGCACATTGCAAGTCAGCATTCCTCCCCCCAAAAAGTAAATATTTGGAATTGCCTTGGTTAGGATTCTGAGTTAGAGCCAGTTATATGGCAGTTTTATGTGACAAATGTATAGCTAGTTTAACACATTGACTGCTACACTAGAAAATTTTTCTTGGGGCCATGGTGTTTTATTACAAAAATAGAATGAAAACTTCAAAAACAAAATGACCCTTTCTAATTTAATGAAAAATTTGTTATTTTTCATTTTCTGTACATGAGTTATATGCAATTAAATTGTCAATATTAATTGTAACAATAAGAACATCAATAAGTAAGATTTTCGCAAACCAGCTGCAGGATTTTGCCCAGGGGCCACCCATCACATGACACGTATGCTACAGCATGGCAGTGTGAGTTGCTTGTGCACCACGAGGCTTCCAAGGTAAAGAGACATGTGAGAGTTACATATGCTTCACAAGACCTCAGGCTCAAAACTAGCATGAATTAAATACAACTCACATGGCAGTTAATGTGTTAAATTCTTGATTTGGGGCAATGCAGCTGCTATCTAAGCATTAATCAAACTTATATTTATTTAAAGTAATTTAGGCCAGGTGTGGTGGCTCATGCCTGTAATCCTACCTAGCACTTTAGGAAGCTGAGGTTGGAGGATCACTTGAGACCAGGAGTTTGAGACCAGCCTGAGCAACACAGCAGACATCTCTATCAGAAATAAATAATAGCCGGTTGTTTATTTATGTTTATGTTGTGTGTGCCTGTAGTCCCAGCTGCTACTTAGGAGGCTGAGGTAGGAGGATCATTTGAGTCCAGGAATTTGAGGCTGCAGTGAGGTATGATAATGCCATGGCACTCTAGCCCTGGTAAAAGAGGGAGACAGGAGACACTGTCTCAAAAAAGAAAAAAAAAATAATAAAATAAAATAAGTTAGCAATTCACATTCAAAAATATTTATCTTTTGTCCCACAAAATTGTAAAGCATTCACATGCTGTTCCTGGTGTGGTTCTAAGGGATCTCTCAGTTAAGGCAGTTAGGATGTAGATGATTGCTCCCAAAAGTCAGAAGTCCCAGCCTGAGGAGAAATACATTCTTGTGTTCTTCCTATCACTCTGTGATGGCTCTCCATGGTCATACTGTGACGCTAGCCTTTTCATTCTGTTGCACCTACCTAGATTTTTCAGGAAAGGAGCAGTGAAGGATGGGGGGGGGAGTTACCATCACAGTGTCCATACTAATTCTTAGAATTCTTTTAAGGTTTAGGATCAGCAACAATCCACTTTGGCTCTGAGAATGCTAATTGCAAGCCCTCAGCAATTCAGTCCTTTTCCCTCTTCCTTTATTTAGTCAGCAGAACCCCATGGTGACCAGTTTTGAAAGAAATCATCCCCTTTAGCAGTTACCTAGCACCATGGCAACCAGGACGTCAGCAAAGCAGGATAGACTCTGCACAAAACAGCTCCAACCAGGCTCTCTCCCTGCGCCTTTAATTTAGCCTTGCCTAAGTCCTGGGGATGGGGCTAATGATATCTAGACCTGTACACCCAAGAATTCCTCTGTTTCTGTGGTTTTGCCCATGAGTATAGATATATGGGCATATAGTGAACTATGTTATGAAAATCTGCCCCCTCCTGAAAAAACCCACAGAACATGTTTAAAGGGTGAGGATGGGTGATGGGATGGGCACAAGGAGGTAGGTATGGAATAGTCTTTTGGGTTAAATGAAATGTAAAAATTATATTTGTGTTTATAAGGTAATGGTAAATTGGCAATAGGGGAAATAAGAGCCCTAAATATAAATTTGTATTTAGGCAAAGGTCCTCAGAGAAATATTTAAAAAATATTTTTATTTACCTGAGAGTGAAATAGACAAATAGCTTTTAACAAGCTCTGAAGAGGGTGTAATGCTGTCCGTGGTGCTGAACATTCGATTATTGCAGATATGCTAAGGGGGCTTCAGAGGGAGGTTAAGGAACACCTTCCCAGGTCTGGGTACTGATGGTAAGAAAGAGGGGAGTTGAGGAGAAAGCATCATTTCCCTCCCATACTGAGCAACTCTGCTCAGGATAAAATCTTTAGATGAAAAACAAAAAAGAAAGTAAAGAAGGCTGGAGGTTTGGGTAGTTGAATCTTCCCCTTTTCATATGGAGATTTTTGGTCTGAGCCAATCAGGCCAGAGATTTCTGCTGCTTTGCTCCTGAAAGGGAAAGTGGGGGAAGGGAGAGAGAAGATGGCCACATTCTCCCCTTAAGCCACATGATCCATTTCCCATGTGACACATTCCGGAGCCTTGGAAAGGAGAAGGGAGGGGCTCCAAGAGAGTGGGGCTGGGGGCGGGAAGATGGTTTAACAATCTACCCTGCACGGCGTCATCTTGTCTCCCTAACAGGAAGCAGGCTGTAAGCCAAGGGGAAGGCAGAGGACAGATATGAATGTGTTTCCAAGCTTTCCTGATGGTTTAAGGCATTCTCCAAACTCCTGTGCAAGGGCTATTCCTGATCAAGAAGACCTCAGGAGACCATCTCTGAAATCAAGTCTGGATGAAGGTATGTGATTGAGATCCTGTGGTATCGCAACTGAAATTTGGTTCAGAGGACATAATATCTTCTTTATTTCCAGGCAATTTGGAGATTTTGTCCTGGCTTAGATGCTGGTTAGAGGCTTTAGATTTGTTACAGGTCCAGAAAAGATAGCTAGGTAATTCTGTAAAATGAATAATTCACCAGAGTACATGCCTGTTGAAAAATTATGGAAATTAAATATAGTGGTAATTAATAAAACAAAGCACTCATTGATGAAAACGATCTTTTTTTCCTTGAATCCTAGAAGGAGAAAAAAATTACAGAAACCAGCTAGATTTCATTGTCACTGCAATAAAATCCTGTTTCATGGCTTTTCAGCTGCTTATTCTGTGCCCATGTTCCCAGAGGTTATTGGCAGTGGCTTAGGGAGCCTGAGTGGGCAGGCATGCTGTTCCTTTGAGCTATGTGATCATCTTCCTTTTTGATGTTCCTGGTACCAAGAGTGTTTGTGATTGCTCCTAGCCATGGCTTAGGACAGTATATTGCCACAGAATTTCACATCTTATTGAATTGCTACCAACAAGGCCTTGGGAAAGTTCTCAAAGGAATCTACCAAAGTTACAGGCTAAAATAATCTGTCATGGCAAGGTGCAGTGGTTCATGCCTGTAATCTTAGCACTTTGAGAGGCCGAAGCAGGAGGATAGTTTGAGCTCAAGAGTTCGAAACCAGCCTGGGCAATAGCAAGACCCTGTCTCTACAAAAAAATAAAAAAAATTAGCTAGGCATATTGGCATGTGCCTGTACTCCCAGCTACTTGGGAGGCTGAGGCAGGAGGCTCCTTTGAGCCCAGGAGTTGAAGGCTATAGTGAGCTATTATGACACCACTCTAGCCCAGGCAACAGAGTGAGACCCTTTCTTAAAAACCAAACTGCCATGAACCCAAGTCTTGGTGTCTTTGACTATTTCCAGTACTAAGAGAGGAGCTAGCAAGTTTAAATTTTATTTTGTCTTTATTTAACAAATACTTATAAAGTTCTTGCTACGTGCAAGGCACTGTTCTAAACACAAATGGTCATTTAATCTTTACAAGAACCTTTTGAGGGAGGTATTATTGCCTATATTTTAGAGATGAAGAAAGTGAGGCACAGAGAAGTTAGGGACGTTTCTCAAGGTCACACAGCTAGCAAATAGTAGAGCTAGAATTTGAACCCAAGAAGCTTAACCCTAAAGCCCATGCTTTTAATCACTGAGCTATTCTGCTTGCCTGCTCAAATTCAAATGATGTCAGCAGTTGATTTGGCCACAAATTTTGTTCAGCTGATGCTACTAGAATATTGAATCAGCTTGCCTGGCTAAAACAGAGCCCCAGTGAAATCTATATTTAATCTTGAATTATCCCAATAGTCACATTCTGTACCCCCAAATAACCCAATAAGTGCTTGTTCTTTTCCCCTTGTGCTGTACAGATATCTGGTAGTAAAACATTATGTTAGTATGGTGACCAAAAGATGTCTAAAGGAAAAAAAGAAATCTAGAATTACATCATGTTTTTTTTTAATTGAACTTAGAAACATTCTTCCATCCTCAGAAATTTAGCAACATGACCATCCTGAGCATATTGTCTTTAAAAGCAATTACCTGGTTCTCAAAATAAAATAAATTGATTAAAAATTTCTAAAATTATACATAAAACTATGATATCAAACTGACTGGATTTATTGTTTTAAAATAACATTATCATATTTTAAAGGAATAGATTTCTCATTGCAAATTATTTTAGGTTTTTAAGGGTAAAAGAGGAAATTTGGTAATTTTTTTAACTGCTAGAAATTTCTGAGATACAAAGAAATTATATCCCTTTGATCTGTGTAGATTTCCTTCTGGTCCTTAATAATAAAAGACGACTGATTCGATTCCTATACTCTGTGGGAAAACTAATAGAGGTCTAATAGAGGTTACTAGGTCTAAGATACAAAGGGGAAGAAAAGGGACAGGAATCTGAAATTTGTGAAATTCTTCACTAAGTGAGGTGTTTCTCTCCAGGGTTTCATTGCACAGTACTTTGAAGAGTAATTGTGTCGCCTACAATATTGAACTTTAATCTTTTAGCTTAAGCCTTTGATCCCTTCTGAAATCTACATTTTCCTGGGTCAAGTAACACTTTTATGCTATACTACAGTTACCTGAAATGAGCTTCTTGAGAGAAGGGACGGTATACTTCTATCTTTGGATTTCTAGTGCTTAGCTCCATGCCTGGTCTGTGGTAAGCTCTCAGTACACACTTGTGAATGAAGACTGGGAAGACTAAGGCTCTGACAGCATTCTGCTGGTGTCAGTTTGGCGTCCCATGCCTGTTTTGTTTTGCATGTGTTTATAGGAAGGATAGTGAGGAGGCAGATGTGTAGTAAGACAAAACTTGGCAACAGTCAAAATTATGCCTGAAGTTTATATAGTCAGGCTGGCCCTGGAGCAGCAGCAAAGTTAGCGTTCAGGAAGTATCCATACATTCTTTCCTGGCAATCACCAATTCGCCTGACATTTTTATTTACATTTAGAATGAAGTTCTCCTGATATTTTTATTTCTGTCTAGATGGAGGCACCCCTAACAGTCTCATTGTCCCCTGATGTTGTGTCTGGTCCCATCTCCCAATGTAGAAACCTTGGGTTGAGAGTGAATGAATGTCTTGAGGAGTTTGCTCCTGCCCAGGCAGTCCTCTCCTAATCCAGTCTGGCTCCCTGTCCCTGAATTTCGCACAGAAACCTCATAGGACTGCAGGACTCCTGAGGTATCTTGAGTGTCAGCATGGGTTAGGAATAGACTGCCTTTCCCAAATGATGCCAGTTAGGACCTGAATGCAAGATTGTCTCGAAGCATTTTGAAAGCTTGGTCAGGGTTTAAATTCAAGTTAGCAGGCTAATGTGGCTTAAAATAATCACCCTCCTTATGATATATACAAATATAACCTACTCTGTTATTTTTCCATCTAATAAAATCATTAAGGAGAGGAAGATTGGGGGATGTGGATAAGGTAGGGGTCCCTGAATCCTACCAACTCATCCTCCCTATCTCCAGTATTACCTGCTGAGTGAGCTGCACGAAAGAAACAGCAGCCCTGCTGGAAGCGCAGACCAGCTGGGCAAGTGCTGCATGCCCACCTCACGCACACGGGGCTTTGCAGATGAACAGGGCTAGCACACTCATGAGGCATGGATCTGGAGGCCTAGCTCGGCTTCCTACCCATCCCTCTGGAGCTTAAAAGGGGCAACTTACTCAACCAGCTGAATGAGAGAAAATAGAACAGAGGGAGAGAAAGTAGACAGGCTTGAAGAGAGGCCTTCCAGGTTTGCTTTCAACTTGGAGGAGTGGAAGGAACTAAGAAGAGGGACAGTGAGTATGGATGAAGGATAGGAGAAAGTGATCCCTGGGGCCTGCCTTTCAGACACAGTAACTTGCCCACTGATAAACCCTGCTAAATGAGTTAGGCCCTGCCAGAGGAATTACCTAATGCCTTATGAGGGTATATATATATATATGGGAGGAGAGGGAATAGAGAGAAGGACTAGAGAGTGGGTTCAATTTCTTCTCTATGAACCAGGGCAAAAAATGGAATGACTTGGGAATTGTCCTTTCTGAGAGGATAGTTTAAAAAGCAAAAGGGGAGTTGCCATCATGAATATATTTGAGCCTAGGACTTGGAGACTGAGGTGCACTATGATGATGCCACTGCCCTCTACCTGGGGCAGCAGAGTGAGACTCTGTCTCAAAAAAAAAATTACTTAGAATAAGGATATCTACATAACAATTTTCTTTTCAACATATTTTCTTAGGTGGAAAATTAAAGGATTACAGTTATAGGTTGAGATCCTAGAGTTGCACATAATTCTGGATATATCCATGAGGGTATATCATACATGAACACATTTGTCACAGATGTCTCTGAAGAAGAAAGGTTGAAAATTACTGGTATTGATGATTTGGGTCAACCATTGCTGATATGCAAAGAAGCACTTAACAGGAAAAAAATTAAAAAATGAAAAACAAAATTTAAAAAAGAAGCACTGTGAAAGGAGAACAGTAACATTAATTTATAAAATGTCTAAAAATAGATGGCACTAAAATTTATATTAACTGTGTGAAATATATGTAAATACATGTTCAACCATATTTTCAGTGACTTCTGATTGCATATAGTTGTATAATTTGTCAATGAAAAATACATACTAATGCAATATTAAATGTATTAATAACTTCCACTTCATGAACTTGAAGGTAGCTTTCTGGAAAACCTTGATTGAAGACAGTGGTGAAGATAAAAATTTATCCAGAGTGTTGATGTGAATATGATGAGAGAGAAAGTAAATGCTCATGAGAAACAGAGTGCTTAGTAACTTCCTGTTTAGTGTTTATACTTCTTAACGAATCCTTCACCTTCTTTTCAAATAACTGCAAATTGCATCTACCTTACAGCTCTTTGCTTTGATTGTAATGAGTCTAGTCTTTGCCTCCTTACCTCTATCATATTTAAGACGCTCTACCAGGGATGTTGGTACTGAAATCAAAGCTTGGAAATGAAACCAAACATTTACCTCCAAAACAACTGGTTGCCTCTAACTCAGTGAGCAGGTGTTCAAAAAGTGTTTGTTGTAATGAATTGTATTTGGTAAGGTGCAAATTCCTTGGTGAAAGACCCAGTACTGGGAAGAAAGGTGTAGAATATTGGTAGAGGACAGTCAGGGGTTGTAGTAAATGTTTCTTCCCCTGAGAGGTTTGGTATTAGATGGAATGGAAAGCAAACACAGGTGCAGGTGCTCCCTGACCAGACCACTTCTCACAAGGCATCTTCAGTAAGAGATTGTTGACACATCAGGATAATTACTGTGGAAGGCTGGGCTGAACCCTAGGTGAAATTGATCTGTCCTTTGGAGACCCATGCTACTGATCTTTGATGTCAAAGGCGCCCAGTGCTGGGAGCATTAAACTCCCAGCAGCCCTAAACAACTTCCCTGTCCTCCCATCAAAATGTACTCTCAGGATGAGGTCTCTGCTAGATGAAAGTGGTGGGTTACAAATTGAATCAGTGTGTGTTGCTCATCCTAGGCAACAAATGTCTATCTGTCACTTTTAGTTCATAGAGCTGAAATGACCCTGGATATCTTCTAGGCCAACTCATACATATTGTAGACATGGAAATGGGGATTCAGGGAGATTGATTTACTAGAGGTCCTTATGCTGGTAAAAAATAAGACCAGGTCTGTTGACTTGTTGTTCAGTGCTTATTATCAGAATTAGAACCCAGGTTTCTTAGCTACCAGTCCAACGTGTAAGGTGAAGTAAAAAGCACCATACTCTTTAAGCTTTTTGAGTTTTCTAATACCATTCCAGATCCTGGTGGAGTAGTGGAAGGTGATTGAAGATATGAATTTTAGCCCTCATCCTCAATTATATAAGAAATGCTACACTGACTTAGTTTCTGTTGCTGCTGTAACAAATTAACACAAGTTTAGTGGCTTAAGATAACACCATTTATTACCTCATGGTTCTGCAGGCCAAAAGTCTGAGTGGGCTTGGCTGGTTTCTCTGCTTAGAGTCTCACAGGCCTACAGTCAAGATCTTGGTAGGACTGTGACCATCCTTTTTAGAGGCTCTGGGGTTGATTCCCCTTTCAAGCTCATTCAGGTTGCTGGCAGAATCCAATGCCTTGTGGTTGTAAGGTTAGGGTCCCATTTCCTTGATGAGTAGTAGTTGGGGGCCACCATAATTCTTAGAGGTCTCTCCCTGGTCCTTGCCTGTGGGCCCCTGCATCTCAGAACTAGCAATAGCATGTCAGTTTCTTCTTGTGCATGGAACCTCTCTCTGACTTGTCCTGCTGTATCTCTCTGTCACCAGCTGGAGAAATTCTCTACGTGTAAGGGCTCATGTGATTAGATTTGGCCCACCTGGACAGTCCAGGATAATCTCCCCATTATAAGGTCCATGACCTTAATTGTATATGCAGAGTCCCTTTTGCTATATAACATAACAAAGGATTAGAATATATCTTTGGGGGACTATTCTGCCTACTACACACATTGTTTCCTTTAAATGAGGGCAAGGCTCTATTTTACCAGGCTAATGGGAAAATCAGTGACAGACATTACTGGGACTCCCTCTTCCCAAGTCCAGGGTTCTTATGCAGAACAAAATATATGAGGTGGTCCCTTGGATCTCCTCTGGTTGTATCAGAGAAGTAATTGTGGTCTGAGCTGTTGTGGGTCCTTGGAGGCTGGTGGATTTGCTGCTTCAGGACCACCCTTGGGGCAGTGGATTCTTCCTAGCTGTGTTCCTCCATTACCTCCTGTCACTAACCTGGCACACAGTGAGGAAATGAGGCAAGGATCCCAGGCCCCTCTCTCGTTCTCTCTCTCTTTCTAGCTTTATTGAGGTATTTTTTTTTCTTTTGAGACAGAGTCTCGCTTTGTTGCCCAGGCTAGAGCGAGTGCCATGGCATCAGCCTAGCTCACAGCAACCTCAAACTCCTGGGCTCAAGCAATCCTCCTGCCTCAGCCTCCCGAGTAGCTGGGTCTACAGGCATGTGCCACCATGCCCAGCTAATTTTTTTTATATATATTAGTTGGCCAATTAATTTCTTTCTATTTATAGTAGAGACAGGGTCTCAGTCTTGCTCAGGCTGGTTTTGAATTCCTGACCTTGAGCAATCCACCCGCCTCAGCCTCCCAGAGAGCTAGGATTATAGACCACCACTCCTGGCCTGGCCAAGGTATTGTTTATATGCTATAAAATTCACTCATTTTGAGTACACGATTCAGTGCTTTTTGTTAAATCTACAGAATTATACAACCACCACCATAGTCCAATTTCAGAACATTTTCATCCCAAAAGGATCCCTTGTGCCCATCTAGGCCTATTTTTTTGCATTGCTCCTGGGGAGGGGACACAGTCACTTTCCTCGTTCAAAGGTCCTCATTTCTTCCTCTTCCCCCCTAGGACAACCCTCTCAGAGAAGTCAGCTTCCAGAAGACAAGAACCAAGGAAACATTTGTCTCAGGTTCAGTAATAACAACTCTACACTAAAGCAAAGCAGCATTTAGGATCTGGCTTTATTCTCAGAATAGGAGAGGAGAAAAAAACAATCTCAGCCAGGAGCACAGCACACATCAACATCTCAGTGATTTATCCTGCCTCCCAGGGTGGGATGGAGTCTACAAATCGCACCAAGCAGGCAACCACTGCCTCCATTGAGCAGTGATCTGTAGGTGAGAGAGTCAAACTTCCCCCTTCCCTGCTTCCCCCCTCCTCTAAGCAGAAACAGCTTTCTTCCTCCCAGCTTAAATGACCTGAGGACGACTCACGGTGTGGAGTGGGATGGGAGAATAAGGGGACCAACCTGTGTCACAAGAAGGAGGGGGCTCCCCAAGGCACTTTGTCCCCCAGACTCCATTTATCCCTCTTTCTCTCTTCTCTGCTCCCCATGTGATATCTGGGTTCTTTTGGCTACAAAGAACTCTGAATTGCCTTAAGGACGACAGACTGTCACAAGAACAGCATAAGGCCAGGCTGCAAGGAGTCTGAAACATTGTTCAGGATCTGGAAGGCGGCTGGGAATCCAAGGGAGCGTGGTGGCTGGATTCTCTGGTTATCTGTCAGCAGCAAGAGCCTAGAGAGCCTACCCCAGAGGAGCTGCTCTTCTCTGTCTTGCTGCTACCACTTCTGTTGCCTCCCCGACCCCCAGCCCAGGGGAGGGGCCTCCCACCATGCTCTCATAACAGCCTGCTCTTTTCTTTCTTAGGACATATTACAACTTACTATATTTATTTGTTCTTATCTATTTATTACTCTCCACCCACTTCACAACTAATTAGACAGATCTTCATGAGGATAGGGATACAGTTTTATTTGCCCCTATATATCTACTTCTTAGCATAGTACATTCTGGTACATAATATGATCTTAATATATATTAATGGAATGATGAATGAATTGATGAAAATAGGCAAAGAGAAAAATAGACATTTCTTCAAACTTATATAATCAGTGACCAACTGATGTTTCTACTTGGCTATTTAATGGGAATTTAACTTGTCTACAATAGGATCATTGATTTCTTGCTCCCCAAACATTTTCTTCTCTGCTCTCAAACCTAGAAGTAATCCCTAGTCCCTGACCCCATCTCACATCAACTAACTTTGTTGGCTCTGTCTCCAGAATGTTTTCAATATCCATCTACTTTTCTCCACCTATCCTGCTACAACCCTGGTCTAAGCCACCATCATGACTTACTTAGATTATTGTAGTGCTCCAGGCCACCTACACAGCAACTAAAGTTATATTTTTAAAACATAAATCAAATTGTATTTATTTCACTCCTTTGCTTAAAACCTTTAATTAATTTTACTTCAGTAGAATAAAATCCATGCCCTATAGTGCCCTATGTGATCTGGCCCCTGCCTGCCTTTCTGGTTATATCAGATACCATTTTCTCCCCCATTTATATGCTCCAGCCATGTAACAAGCGTATTCCCATACTGGGCCTTAGCACTTACCACTTCTTTTGCCTAGAATGCTATGGCTGGCTTCCTGTCATTGGGGTTTCAGCTTCAATATCACCTCTTCATAGAACCCTTCTTTGACCACTCCATCTAAAATAAGACCTTGTATCAGTCAGGATGCTTTCAGGGCAAGTAACAAACCTCAAAGTGGCTTAAGTCATAAAGACATTGATTGCTTATGTACTAAGTCTCAAGGTGAATGTTCTAGCTGTACCACAATGTCAGGGCACTGTGGTATTTCTCTGTGAGTCTCAGGATTCCGCTGACCTCGTAGGACACCACTCAGTGCCCTGACACCTTTATATGACAGTTTACAGAGGCAAGAAGCAGAGGGGCAGCCAAGCCCATGAAACGCTCTCTACACACCTCTTTTATGCAGGAGGAAACATTTTTCCAAGAACCTTCCAAAATCCTGCCAGGAACTTTCTCATGAAAGAAGGTGATGCTGATGTGATCCCAGCTAGCTACAAGGGATGGTGGGGAATCCTTTTTAGTTTTTCATGCCTTTTCAGCTTCTTGAGTGAGAGGCAGGCAGGGAAGAGTTGGGAATGGCCATTGGGCAACCAACCAACCATCTGCCACTCCATTTCCCATCAATTCTTATTCCCTCATTCTGCTTAATTTTCTCCATAGCACTAATCATGTCTGAATTTTTTACATATTTATTTGTTTAGCTGTTTATTATTTTTTAATTATTATTATTTTTTTTTGAGACAGAGTCTCACTTTGTTGCCCAGGCTAGAGTGAGTGCCATGGCGTCATCCTAGCTCACAGCAACCTCAAACTCCTGGGCTCAAGCGATCCTGCTGCCTCAGCCTCCCAAGTACCCTCCGAGGTAGTTGGCCAATTAATTTCTTTCTATTTATATTAATTTCTTTCTATTTATAGAGACAGGGATTCGCTCTTGCTCAGGCTGGTTTCGAACTCCTGACCTTGAGCAATCTGCCCGCCTCAGCCTCCCAGAGTGCTAGGATTACAGGTGTGAGCCACCGTGCCCAGCCTGTTTAGCTGTTTATTATTTGTTTCTTCTACTAGAAGTAAACTCCATAAAAGCAGGGAGTTTGTCTCATTAACGTCAGTGTCCCCAGCTGCTAACACAACCCTGGCTCACACTAAGTGATTTTTTAAAACATTGGATAACTGTATGATTGAAGATTATTTTGTATATACCATCAGAAAAAAATGGTCATTTCTTACGCTGAAATTTCTTTGTGTTTATTTCTTTTACTTTTTCATTTTATCTTACTTTAGAGTACCTTTCTATAAAGATACTATACTTTATATAGAGATACTATACTTTCTATAAAGATACTATACTTTCTGTAAAGATACTTTCTTTCTATAGTATCTTTCTATAGTATCTTTGTATAAGTAGCAGAAAGATAGGGAAGTTCAATATCATTAAACCTGGAGCTGCATCACTTCTACACAGAATTATATTAAGTGGCAATTGGGCTGAGAAGTATTGATAAGTGAGAAGTATTAGATAGTGTTCTTTATACACTCTTGGGAATGGTTACCCCCAAAGAGGCACCAACATAACCTACCATTTTCTCCGGCCACGTGGTTTGCAAAGAATTATGGGAGGACTACAGCCCATGGGCAATGTAAACCTTTATGTGGGGTAAGGCTCAGGCTTTTTTTCAGTTCCTCTGGGTAGTGTAGTTATCCCAGGGGCTATCCATTCCTGCATGAAATTGTCAAGGAGGTGAAGTTTATCTTCTTCAACTGAGCCTTTTACCCTTCACCCACCCCTTTCCATAATGACACCCTATCTCCATTCTCTCAGATACTTACTAACCTCTTGGCTTTTGCTTTTGGCATCTTTCATGTTTTCATTTTCACTAAAATAATATATTTCAGAGATAGAATGCGTCTCAGAGATCACAATGGATAAAATGTAAAAATGTTCTTTAAGAAACATTTAATTTTAATAGGGACCTTGACTTTAAAAGAATGATGCTATAATTGTGAGAGGTTGGTGGGATAGACACCTTCTTGATTCCTGACATCATGCCAAGGATGCTGGCCCTGTTTATTTCTGATATTCTGGGTTTCATGTGAAGGACAAAGAAACTGGCAAAGGTGATAGAAGAGAAATAGTTCCTTAAATCTAGATATCCAGAATTTCTCATCCTGGAATGTTCATTGGCTATTTTGTGAAGTTAGAAGAGGCTGTTTTGAAAATGCTTCTCTGTTCAAAAAACTCATGTTGCTCCTGAAAATATAACCAGTATCCAAACAAAAAGAAAGTGTGCCTAGTTTGATCTTAAGAAACTGCTTGATCCCAATTGGGAAACAGATAGAAAGGCACAAAGCTGGAAGTATTATGGAGGAATACTTACTTATAAGAGGAGGAAAGGAAAAAACCACTAGAGAAGATTCCGGGCTTATAATCCTGTGACACTGGGAGTTCTCAGGTGGTGGAGAGAAGTTCTGTTTATACTGGTAGTATAAGGTTATTTTGCAATTATTCAAAATTAGTGAATGGAAAGGATCTAAGCAGAATGGATTCTACATGCTTTTGAAAAAGACATTCAATCCAGTTATATTACATATTTTGGTACACCAAATATGAGTGTAGAAAAAAGTTTGATCTGGCTAAGATGTCACATAAAATCATCTCCAACTTGGAGAAAGGTTGTATGTATTTATTGTGGCCTCAGTGATTTTCCCCTTAAAAACATTGTTGTAAATGATAATTAAGTTCCTAAATTATGTGAATAATGTTAGTATTATCATTAATAGTATGTGATATGTGATATGGTTACTAAAATTTGCTTGTCATGTGGTTTAAAAGACTCTTATGAGCTGACGGTAGTGAGAGTGCTGATTTTGGAAGTACTTTCTATGTGCCAGACACAGAGCCAGGTGTTTTATAGAACTATATAAGGATAACTTATTATTTTCCTCATACCAAGCAGATGTACATGTATTACATCACTTAACTCCTGGGCATATTCTCTCATTTAATTCTTATAATAATCAAAATGAGATAGGAACTGATTATCCTCATTTTACAGATAAGAAAACTGATCCTCAAGGTTAGATAACTTGACCAAGGTCACACAAATAGTGACAGGAGTAGGATTCATATGAATACTGACTTCGAAGCCTGCATACGTAACTGCATTGCACTATGCCTATATTGTGAGATGAAAAATACATATTTTTTAGCAGCAAATTATGTTCTGGGTATAGGTTTACTAGATTTACCAATTAAAAATACAGGACACCAGTTAAATATTGCATGGGACATGCTTATACTAAAAAATTTTTGTTGTTGTTGTTATTTATCTGAAATTCACACTTAACTGGGCGTCCTGTATTGTATCTGGCAACTCTGAGTGGCAACATTGTAAGAAAATGCCTTACCCTCTCTGGTTTTCCTGTTTCCCCGCCACAGTCATGCTTCGGCTACTGGGGCCTTATATAGTTAAATAGAGCACTTAGTGTTCACACCAGAGCCATATCTCAGGGCCAGACAGCAAGATTGTCACTCAGGAAGCTTCTGAATAGTGGCCGGGCACGGTGGCTCACGCCTATAATCCTAGCACTCTGGGAGACCGAGGTGGGCGGATTGCTCGAGGTTGGGAGTTCGAAACCATCCTGAGACCCCGTCTCTACTAAAAATAGAAAGAAATTAATTGACCAACTAAAAATATATATACAAAAAATTAGCCAGGCATGGTGGTGCATGCCTGTAG